ATAGGAGGTGTTATGTGCCAACCATAGTCTTGTAATTATGCCACGAGCCGTATCATGGTCTTTCTTGCCAAGTCGGGGTCCAAAACCCTGGTTCTTACGGACAAGTGCCAGGAGCCACCTCATGGTCTTACATGCAAGCATCACAAAGACAACTAACATATAATCTACAACTACTTAACCAATTAATTGCCAGAGTTCAGACTCTGGTCTTGCATACAGATTTCTAGGAGCCACCTCTTGGTCTTTCATACAAATGCCAAGGGCCACCCCGGGTCTTCTTGTAATACATAAACCAAATGGGCCGACATTGGTGCCTTAGACCTATAATACACTGAGGAGACTCACCTCAAACGGCAGACAAATCCCATAACTGCTGCAGCTGCTGCGAACTGACTTCCACAAACTGAACCAGACAACCAAACCGTTCTTTAATAATTAACCATGGCTCCAAGCACTAATCCCATAAACGGTCCAACCAACCAGGCCAACTAATAGCCCAAACCACTAAGGCCCAATACAAAATCCTAGGCCCCACAAGTCAAGCCCAAACAAGAGTCTAATACTCTAAAATTCCTCTATCCAATAAGCCCAACACACAAAGCCCAAACCCAATACCAAATCCCAAAACATGAACAAGCCCAAATGTCCACAGCTGAACGTACGCGGGGTGTACCCCCTTGGTACGCTCAACGTACTCGATGATTTGGACAAGATCTCAAACCAGTACGCGGGGCGTACTTGCATCTTACGCGGGGCGTAAATGCTACTCTTCCAAAACTTAAACTATGACTTAATCCTTTAATTCCTTTGCATCCAAACCTCAGAAAACCTTCAATATAAGTTCTTAACTGATAAAGTTGGCCACTTTAGCAGTTTGCATATCTTAATGGGACCCATCTTTTAAATATAACCATTAAGACCCATATAAAGCACCTTAACACATGCATGGTCCATTCTTAAACATCAAGCAAGCATTTTTACGAACTAACAACATCAAAAGGGGCAAGATCTATCACTCCAAGCTCCTGGAGTGGCTCAAACTCACAAGGAGAACTTAATACACCATATAAGCTCCTAATATTGCCATAAACTCAAACTAACATAAGAAGAAGTTAAGATAAGAACTTTTTACCTCCTGAAGCTTCCCAAGAGTGTGAAGGTTATGGATCTACAACCCCAAGGCCACACCAAGCTAGATCACCAAGGTCCGCTTCCTTGAAATAACACCAAAAACCCTTCAAAATCACCTCCAAACTCAAGAATACACCACCAAGGGAATTAGGGTTCAAAATGAGGCTCTAAGATCAGTGGAGGCTGAGAAATGAGAAAACCTTGAGCTTATAAGGATGTTTAAATAATGCACAAGCCCTAAAAATTAGGGTTTGGCACTTTGCCCGTTACACTGGGCGTACGCGGCCAAACACGCGCCTTCCCTCCTTGCATGCATGGGACCAACTTGCAAACCTTTTCCACTAAGGGCAATATCTGCCAATTATTCAAACAGCCATAACTCCCTCGTCTTAGGTCTGTTTCCTACGAAATTTATATCCACAGAAAGGTGACGAGAAGCCCTACGCTTCTGTCAACTCACCTTTTCCTTAAAACTTCCCAAACAGAAACCTAAATTCATAAAAGCCCGAACTAACAAATTACAATCATACCCTTGGGCTCCGAATCGTCATCGAACACTCGTATCACTTAAACTATAGCACCTAACATCCAAAAAAGGGCCAAATCCTTTCTTACCTAAGGCCCTAAGCTTCATGACAACTGATGATTGGGCCACAACCCCGAATAATGAAGCAATCAGAAACCGAGTGTTACACAGTTACAGTACTCAGCCTGTATTGACTCTTTGACTTTTTGACTTTTGACCTTTGACCAGGGATTTGACCAAGTTTGACTTAGGGGAATTTTGGGTAATTTGAATAATAGCTGCGATTAGGTCCTTGTTTATTGTAGATACAATATTTGGAGCTGTGATCTGTTCAGCTATCTTTCAGACTGTGAGGTGAGTGTTCCTCACTGTACTGGTGGGTCGAAGGCACCAATGCCGACCCACTGGATTATGTATCCTGGTATATTGGATGATGTTATGCTAGTTATATGATTGACTGGTAGATCTATAGGATTAGCTGCATTCACTGGTTGTGTGTTAGACTGGTAAATCTATATGATTACCTGTACTTTCTGGTTATTGATTGTTATCGTATATGTCGACATGTTATCGTTTGTTGGGTTGATGTGGTCCTTCTTTATGCTGAAGGCCAAGACACCCCGGGCGGTCCGGATAGGTTGTAGGCCCTACAAGGCGGTCCAGTCAGGCCGAAGGCCTGTCCATATAGGATGTAGGCCCTGCGAGGCGGTCCAGTCAGACTGAAGGTTCATATATGCATGCTGTTATATGTTTATTGTGTGTGTGTGGTACTTTGGGGAAACTCACTAAGCTTTGACTTACAATTTGAATTTATGGTTTCTGGTACTTCAGAGGATAAGGGCAAGACGAAGGCTTGATCGTGCACATCATCCTGGATTTTTATGAGATTATGATTTTGGGATACTCTGATTCATGTTTATGAATTTTGGGAACTATGTTTTGTAAATACTTATGGTTTTGGATTGGTTTCAAAAATAAAAATTTTACCTTGATTTTTGGGATATCACATAATGGTTGACTTTAGGAAAAAAGTCACAAACTAGGCAATCGTAGTACTACTTAAAGTAGGAATTATAAGGCAAAGAACACCTGAAACGGAAGTCGTACGAGAGAATTATGATTTTTATAAAATCATAACGGTAATAAAAACTAGTCGAAAAAATGAAAGTCAAAACTAAACAAAACGACGAAAAGGGAAGTTGTAGAGACCGAAGAGACCTACACAAATATATAAGAGTCGTTGAGAATGGAGTTCGTATGCGAGAGCTATGGAATTTCAAAGTTGAATTTTTACCGTCACGCGTGCTCGCTCGCAGTGCGCTGCACGCATTCTGACAGTCGATCTGCCTGGATATGGGATGACGTGGCACGAGAAGATGGTGACACGTGGCAGCCCCCCATGTTGTTCACGTTCAAAAGTGTGGCACGCACTCCAAAACTTGTTATAGATATCAAGCTTCAGAAGATCATTTCCTCACCCCTCACACTCGTTATCTCTCTGCATCGATTCTCGTGTCACTGCCCTGAGGACCTCTCGAAGTGTTGACTTTCGGTTTCTACCCTACAACAATGTTTTCATAACGTACATGTTAGTTCACAGCCCCATTTTCAAACCTTTTCCCAGGGGGGATACATGTTAAAATGCAACTATACATAGTTATTACTAACTATAGTTAGATAATTATGCTCATAACATTAGGATGATATTATGCATAGTAGGTACCTTGCTCAAACTCTTTAACTAATATTATGTCTGGTTTTTATACTGAATCACAATGATAGATAGGATCATATGTAGTTGTTATGCTGACCAGTTGCCAAGAAAAGTTGATACTCGAATAGTTATTATAGCCACCCTTTGGATAAGCTTAGTACCTAGTGTCACCAACTAGGCAATCGTAGTACTACTTAAAGTAGGAATTATAAGGCAAAGAACACCTAAAACGGAAGTCGTACGAGAGAATTATGATTTTTATAAAATCAAAACGGTAATAAAAACTAGTCGAAAAAACGAAAGTCAAAACTAAACAAAACGACCAAAAGGGAAGTTGTAGAGAACGACGAGATCTACACGAATATATAAGATTTGTTGAGAATGGAGTTTGTATGCGAGAGTTATGGAATTTCAAAGTTGAATTTTTACCGTCACGTGTGCTCGTAGTGCGCTGCACGCATTCTGACAGTCGATCCGCCTGGATACGGGATGATGTGGGACGAGAAGATGGCGACACGTGGCAACCCCCCCATGTTGCTCATGTTCAAAAGTGTGGCACATACTCCAAAACTTGTTATAGATATCAAGCTTCAGAAGATCATTTCCTCACCCCTCACACTCGTTATCTCTCTGCATCGATTCTCGTGTCACTGTCCTGAGCACCTCTCGAAGTGTTGACTTTCGGTTTCTACCCTACAACAATGTTTTCATAACGTACAGGTTAGTTCACAGCCCCATTTTCAAAAAACCTTTTCCCAGGGGGGGATACATGTTAAAATGCAACTATACATAGTTATTACTAACCGTAGTTAGATAATTATGCTCATAACATTAGGATGATATTATGCATGGTAGGTACCCTGCCCAAACTCTTTAACTAATATTATGCCTAGTTTTTATACTAAATCACAATGATAGATAAGATCATACCTAATTGTTATGCTGGTCAGTTGCCAAGAAACGCTGATACTCGAATCGTTATTATAGCCACCATTTGGAAAGCTTAGTACCTAGTGTTACTCTGCCCAAATACTCGGCTACGTAAAACACACTAATTATATATACATATAAGATAAATAATATATATAATAAGTAAATACATATGAATACAACATGAATAACAACACGACCGACCAGGGGAGGCCCCCATAGCAAGAGTTAGACGAGACACGATTCATCAACGCGCTGAAAGATTTGCAGCTAGCTCCCGGCCTATAATCGTTAAATCTTAAGTAAGCGAGAGAAATATGTATAAATCTATATGAGATTGACACTCCCACCTGTGGTTGCTAGCTACAACCTAACGACAAGTCGAAGCAGACATAACTTTCTAAACACATTGCGATGTTCGATGAAGCGTCATGGTTTTCAGGATTAACAATCATAGCTCGATTATAGGAACTTATCATAATTTTGTTAAACTAAAACTAACTATCTTAGACTAATACTAGGAATCTACATAAGAAAGTAGCGATAGTACACATAAACTCGAGGAAGTGAGTTTAGGATAAACAAGATAACTAAAATACTCACACAACGTTCTATAACAATAAAACATGTGGACTCACCAACATTATGTTGACCTCTCAAAACCACATGTATTCTCAGGGGAATGAATCCGGATGAAAAATGAGGTAACCCCGGTGATGCATCCCAAATTCTATGTGCTTTACTTTTGTACTTTGCTTTGTGATCTACCTATACCTCGAACAACTGTGTAACATATTCTATTTAATGAATAAATAGCCACGTTGTTTAATATATCAGTATATTACTCAATGTATGTCTTTGGCATGAAATCCAACATCCTAACGTCGCACAACCTGACGTTTCCGCCGCCGGCCAGGTGTGTGTGTGTGTGTGAGTGAGAGAGAGAGAGAGACGGTTCCCAACATATCATGGCCAAATTAAATACTCATAAATGGACATAAATATTGTTTTAAGGAAATTTAACTAAACTATTAATATTGCAAACATTATAATCGACCGTCTTAATAGAAAGGGAAATCGACTTATCAGGATAATTACCATTTCGTTTTGTTAACATTCGGGTAACTTTTTTTATTTACACATTTAGGTAACGAACTTGCAGGAAGTGTTGACATATGACCATTATGACCAGCTGTAACTTACCACATCCGGTCATAATGGCCATACATGAACACTTTCAATAAGTTCGTGACTTAGATGTTTACAAAAATAAAAAAGTTATTCATATATAAAAAAACAAAAAAAAGTAACATGATAAATTAATTTTTTTAAATAGAAAAGCAAAATCTTAACCCATCTTAGGGGGGAGGGAGTCGTTCCCACTGAAACCCACTGCCACATCAGCTTTCCTCTTTCATTTTTCTTCATCTTTCCTAACCCACAACATACGAAAATCCTATATTTCTCAACCCACTCAATTAAAAAAAATTCTAAACAATTAAGGTACAAATCTTAAAACACACGGTACAAGAGAAAATGAGAGAGAGAAAGTAGAAAGAGAGGATGAAGTGGGTTCGTGAAACCAATTAAACAACCAACTAAAGAGGGAGTGGTACCGACGATAACTCTATTGCTAATTAAGATTTTACCTTGATTATTTTGTATTTTTTTTTAATTGAATGAGTTGAGAAAGATAGGATTTCCGTGTGTTGTAGGTTGGGAAAGATAAAGAAAAATCAAAAAGAAAAACTGATGTGGCAGTGAGTTTATTGGGTTGGGAGGAAACGACTCCCTCCTCTCTTAGAATAACATGTCATATTGTCATATCTTATGTTACAAAAACATTATAAAATTAATAGATGATAAATATGACACCTCTTCGATAGGCGCTATTAACATTTAACCCTAGTAAATTGGTTGCCTCTGTTTGAGGTCTTGTATAATAAAAGAGAAAGAGACAAACACACGCTCTGACACACACCCCGATTCTTCAACAACACACGCACAAACATCCCCGTTACCGCCTTTGTCTTTGCCTTTTCACTTTCCTCTCTCCAAATTCTAAAACCCTCCTTCTTTCTCTCTCTCTAAAAACCAAAACCCCCCCTCCATTGATTCCGCAAAACAACAAACAAACCCCGTTTAAATTCCTTCAACATTCCTGCAAATCGTCCCAAGAATCTACTTCATCAAATCTCTGTGTCATTTTCACTCCTCATAAGGTATATACACTAAACACACCCTCTGCATATACGTACTATACATTAATGCTTCTAGTACTTTCTTCTTAATTTGTATAATGCTTGAACGGTCTTTCTGCACTTTGATTTGAATCCGTTTTTTTTTTCTTCCAGTTTTTTTAAGTGAATGTGGCTCTACTATGTTGATTCATTTCGTTGGATGCAAGTTTATGTTATAGGGTTTTTGATTTTTTTGTTTTTATGGTTTTCGTTCAGGACAAGAGCTTTCAGATCTGTAGCTTTCAAATATACTTTTTTTTATTAATTTAATTTCATCAGGTGGGGATTACTTAGTTTTCAAATCTGCTTAAACATTTTCCGCTTTTTATTTGATTGATTCTTTACTGGTTTTTGAATTTGGTGGAACCCCAGATGATGAACATGAACAGACCTCCTAATGAAGATTTCTCGCTCAAAGAAACGAAACCCCACCTTGGTGGAAGTAAGGTCACCGGAGATAAGCTCACAAGCACCTACGACCTCGTCGAACAAATGCAATACTTATACGTTCGTGTCGTTAAAGCCAAAGATTTACCCACAAAAGATGTCACCGGAAGCTGTGACCCATACGTCGAGGTTCGAATGGGGAACTACAAAGGAACAACTCGTCATTTCGAGAAGAAAACCAATCCGGAATGGAACCAGGTGTTCTCCTTTTCCAAAGATCGAATTCAAGCCACAATGCTCGAAGTCACAGTAAAAGATAAAGATCTTATGAAAGACGATATCATGGGTGGAGTTCTATTCGATCTTAACGAGGTTCCCAAACGAGTCCCACCAGATTCTCCTCTTGCTCCACAGTGGTATCGATTATCCGATCGAAAAGGAGACAAACTGAAAGGCGAGTTAATGTTAGCAGTCTGGTGGGGTACGCAAGCCGATGAAGCGTTCCCGGAAGCCTGGCATTCCGACGCCGCTGCCGTTAGCGCCGATGGTCTCGCTAGTATCCGGTCAAAGGTTTATCTTTCCCCGAAACTTTGGTATCTTAGAGTGAATGTGATCGAAGCTCAAGATTTGATCCCAAACGATCGTACCAGATTTCCCGAAGTTTACGTAAAAGCCGTCCTCGGAAACCAGGCTTTAAGAACCAGAATCTCAACGAGCAAGACGATAAACCCATTATGGAATGAAGATTTAATGTTCGTAGCTGCTGAACCATTTGAAGAGCCATTGATTTTGAGTGTAGAAGACAGAGTCGCGCCTAACAAAGACGAAGTCCTCGGAAGATGTGCAATCCCATTACAGTATGTTGACCGGAGGTTAGACCATAAAGCGATCAACACCCGGTGGTTTAATCTCGAAAAACATGTCATCATCGAAGGTGAAAAAAAGAAGGAAGTCAAATTCGCTAGCAGGATTCACATGCGTGTCTGTTTGGAAGGTGGGTATCATGTTCTTGACGAATCCACACATTACAGTTCTGATCTTAGACCCACTGCTAAACAGCTATGGAAGAACAGCATCGGAGTTCTTGAAGTTGGAATCTTGAGCGCTAATGGATTATCACCAATGAAAACAAAAGACGGACGTGCAACAACTGACGCATATTGTGTGGCTAAATATGGAACAAAATGGGTAAGAACAAGAACCATAATCGACAGTTTTGTTCCCAAATGGAATGAACAGTATACATGGGAAGTTTTCGATCCATGTACTGTGATAACCATTGGAGTTTTCGATAACTGCCACCTCCAAGGCGGAGGAGACAAGGCGGCAGGTGGTGGTGGTAACCGGGATTCTCGAATCGGAAAGGTCAGGATCCGTTTATCAACACTTGAAACGGATCGGGTTTACACCCATTCGTATCCGCTTCTTGTTTTACACCCATCTGGAGTGAAAAAAATGGGGGAGATCCATTTAGCTGTTCGATTCACATGTTCTTCTTTACTGAACATGATGCATATGTATTCACAACCACTTTTACCCAAAATGCATTACATTCATCCATTAACAGTTGCTCAGTTGGAAAGCTTGCGACACCAGGCGACCCAGATTGTTTCCATGCGGCTGAGCAGGGCTGAGCCGCCGTTGAGGAAGGAGATAGTGGAGTACATGCTGGATGTCGGTTCTCACATGTGGAGTATGAGACGAAGCAAAGCTAATTTCTTAAGAATGATGGGGGTTTTAGGTGGACTGATTGCAATCGGGAAATGGTTCGATCAGATTTGTAATTGGAAAAACCCAATCACCACTGTTCTTATCCATTTTCTTTTCTTGATTCTCGTGTTATACCCTGAACTGATTTTACCCACTATTTTTCTCTACCTTTTTCTAATTGGACTTTGGTATTACCGATGGAGACCTAGAAACCCACCTCACATGGACACCCGACTTTCATGTGCTGATAATCTTCATCCCGATGAACTTGATGAAGAATTTGATACGTTCCCAACTTCACGACAACCAGATATCGTGAGGATGAGATATGATCGGCTTAGAAGCATTGCTGGAAGGATGCAGACAGTGGTTGGAGATTTAGCGACACAAGGAGAAAGGTTTCAGTCGCTGATTAGTTGGAGAGACCCAAGAGCTACTTCACTGTTTGTGATATTCTGTTTGATTGCTGCTGTTGTTCTTTACGTGACGCCTTTTCAAGTTGTTGCAATTTTTGCTGGGTTTTATGTTTTGCGACACCCGAGGTTTCGTCGCAGGTTGCCTTCTGTGCCCCTTAACTTCTTTAGAAGGTTACCTGCCAGAACTGACTGTATGCTGTGAGCCAAAAGATCCTGGATTTTATTGCCAAGATTACCCCTTATGTTAGTTTCTAGTGTTTTTTTTGTAAGTTGTGGAGTTTGATCTGGATCTATCGATGATTTTGTCATATGTGTATGAACTATGAAGGATTTTGGATTCTGTTTTGTTTGATGTGAATCTGATGCAGATTTGGATCTTTGTATGTTATGGTTAGTTAAACCATTTGGTTTTATTCTCTTCCTTTTTTTTTTTTTTTTTATCGCATTCATGCTTTACACTTTGGGTTGGTTATCTACATATTAGTCTCATCATCCAAAAGCCCAACCCGGTTACGAGTTAACGTCCATAGGGTTTGGGCTCAAATTCTGACGACATGACCTGACTCGACTTAAGCCTGTATAGGCCCGCAAAAGCCTATGTATAACCCTGTGAAAAATGAGATTGTCTGAAGTCCGCAAGCCTAGCTGATGGGACGGTTAATTATTCAAAGCCCGATCAATCGTGCTCGCAAGCCGGGCCATGAAGGCTCGCCTTTTGTGCACCTCTACAGAACTCTTTCGTAGGCTTGTAAGAAATAGTCAAAACATTTTTACTTATTACATACTTTTATTAGGATAATTTCCTTTATGTGAAAGTTAAAAGGGAAAATGATAGATTTGTTGATTAGGCCTTTTTAACTTATTTCTCTGTTTTACAAGGGAATAAAATTGTTAGTTACCTAGTTTTTTTTAATGTATTTTCTTAATTTACGAGGGAATAAAGTTGTTAGTGACCTGCTTGTTTGGTTCCTATAACATATAATTATTAGTTTCATGTACCATATGGCTTTTACATAGTTAAAAAAGTTAAATTAAATCCACCTCACTTCTAGTGGTGTTATACGGTTGGTTTTTTTTTCGGTTTTCGGTTTAATCGGTTCGGTTTTTTCATTTTTTATATCTTAAAACCAACCATAACCAAACAAAATAAGGTTCGGTTTAATTGGTTTTGATCAATTTGGTTACGGATTATTCGGTTCGGTTTACCAGTTAAACCAAATAAAATTTTGCATGTAAAATTAAATATTAAACTAAAAGAAAAAAAAAAAAACTTACTAAAATTTTACCAAATGAAAAAAAAAATTCCATTAATACATCACATATTATATTCAGTCTTTCACGATATGTTGTCTTGAAATGTCGAAGTAGTCATACAAGTTGTAGAGACAATTTAATATAGCTTTACTCGTATATGAAGAAGAAAAAAATGACCGAAGGTTAATTAACATTTAGCTAATTAGTTGTTGTTTTTTAATACAGTATAAACAATTTTAAAATTATATTGGTTAATAATTAAATAACGAGTTATCAAAATCTTTTTTAGTAACTAGTCCATCAAATATAAATGTTAATTTATAGATATAAAACTGTAAAAATATATATTAATTATATAGCTTATTCGGTTTAACCAAGATAATAAAAATTTAACCAAACCAAACCAAATAAGGTATCCCTATTCGGTTAACCAAATCGAATTAACCAATTAACCGAACAACCCGAACCAAATAAACCAAACATCATTCGATTTTGGTTTTTTATCACACCCCTAGTCTCTCTCTCTCTCTCTCTCTCTCTCTCTCACTAGCTAAGATTCCTTTTCATTTGCCCCTCTATTCTGGGTATCCAATCATCAATTTCTAATACCTAAGACACGTAAAATAACTAATAGTATGCCTACATGATTGCACATTGAAGCATTGTTAGAGTCTCCTAGATCCCACCCTGGGTTAAGAAAAGTATCAAACTCCACCGCGACAAATGGGTGTGCGGGAACATAGGTGGTAACGTTGACTGAAATCCGCATAGCACCACTGAGACTTACTTTTAGAAAATATTGATTCTCTATAGTTCTGTACAACAGAGACACATGGATTTCAACCATCTTGATGGTTCGTCTAACACAAATCCTCGAAAGTTTGTTCCTAAGAATTCCATGTTTAGACCCAAACACGAACGGGAAGCACCAATTCCTTCATCCGATTTGAATCCAACCTCTATTTATGTGGTGAAGTTAGAAGATTCAAAGTTGTTGCCGCCGGTTGCCATGGTCTATTCCAGGACCGTGACATCCCCAATTTCACGGCCAGAAAAGACCGATTTGTTTATGATTTATTTGAAAATCAGAGTATCATTTTGAAGAAATATGTTGCGGAACAAAAATATGATAAGTAAATTATCAAAACATTTCCGAAGAAATGTGTTTTCATTATATTAAAATCGTTGGGATGTCATTGTCAATACAGTACATAAGCATAAACAGAAATAGTACAGGCCTTACAACATCTATTATTCTAATGGCCTATAATCCATTGATCTTTCATTAGATCATCACTCCTGTGCTCTATAGCCACTACCTGTAATACAAGAAACTGAGTGGGTCAGACTTGGGAGTCTGGTAAACACATAGGGTTTTCAACTCACAATAATTAAGTTTATTAATTTTATCAAATTAATTAACCCGATTACCCATTCCCGTTATCCTCACTTTCTGTCCCTAAAACATCTAAATTAAGAGACCTAGCCTAGTGATTTTCATCAGGATGGACAACACTGCTTAGGGGATTCCTTAGCAATATATGTCAAAAAGGCAACCATGAGGGGGATGGAGTACACCTGGTGAACACGTAGTTCAAAAAAACACCTACAGGTTGCGAGCCTGCCAGCGTTTCACTGGACTGTCTAGAATAACCCGTGGTCGTCATCTATACTCCGCTAGATGACTGAATCAACTTAAACATCGAGGCCTCTCATCATTTATTTCATCATCTATATCATCTACCCATCTTTATCCATCATAATTATAGGTATAAAATACATATACAGTTTAAATCGAATAAAACATGTATATTTTGTTCATCCAACATAAATATCAAGAACACAGATAATATGCACACATAGCACGTAATTTATATTTAATACTTCATATCTATGTGTAAGATGAAAGTAACTATGCACCCACTTGTTAAAGTGACGATTCGCAATTCGGGCAGTACTTCGCTTCTAACAATTTTATTTTCCTTTTACTAGATTTTAGTCTAATATTTATTGCGACTAATTATTAGTCTAGATTTATCATTAACTCAAGATCTACGAGCAATATTGTTTTTCTTGTACTATATAAGTGTTAAACAATACTTTTCAACTACTTACAGGGGCCAACCATGAAACACCGTGTGACAACCCGAAATTTTTTATCTTGTAAGCCCAGCCAATCACCCAAAAGTCAGACTTAATTTCATTGCCTTCTAGCCTAGTTAATGGTCATTCTAATGAGTTCTAAGCCTAGTACACTTAAGGATTGAGTGTTAGGAAGTGTTAGCTCGAGATCAGAAGGTTGCACCCGAACCAGAAAGCTAACCACATGGGGTTTACGACCGTAAACTCTATTCACGGCCGTAAACACCCTCCTAGCCGTGAACTCCTTCCATAAGGATGACATCCCTTCATTTTTCATCATTTATCACCATTTTCAAGTCAAGAACTTCCATTCTCTCTCAAGTATCATCAAGGATATCCTCCTTGATCTTCAAAAGTGTAAGTTATTCTCCCATTGTTTCTTGATATCCTTATTGATCTTGTGAAACCCTTTGATTTCATCCATGAATTCATCACTTTTGGTCTTCAAGATCGAACACACACTTGTTCTTGGTGGCCGTGAACTCCATAAAGCCTTCCAAAGGTGAGTACTTCTTCCATAATCTTGTTAACCACTAGAAGCACTCAAAGCCTCATGAAACAAACACTCTTTAAGCTTGAACCAAGATCCAAATTTGCATCATTTTGGAGAGTTTACGACCATGCAATCTCCCTTGGCCGTAAACCCTTCTCAAGATCATCAATGGCCGTGAACATCTTAGGTCGTGAACACCCATGGCCGTGAACACCTTGGCCGTGAACTCATCTAGGCCGTGAACACACTTCCCTTGGGCCGTAAACTCCCTTTGATCAATCACATGTGATTTCAATACTTCATTTCAAGTGTTTCCTAGTCCCTAAGGTTGTTTCCTTGCATGTTAGTTGTTTTAAACACTAATTACATGCCTATATATGCCATTATATGTCATTTAGGACTCGTTTGTGTCTCGGGAATTCATTCGTGGAACTTCTCATCCTTACGCGAACCTGCAATTGAATCGCCCACATAAGGTGAGTTCATACCCCTATAATCAATCTTTTAAATGCTTTTAGGGGGGGGGGGGAATACAAGTTGAACACAATGATAATTGTGTAAATGTTATTTGTGATAACCATCACATTAAAGGATTTCTTATGCTCTTATAAGTAATCAAATCATTTCAAAAACTCTTTTAAAGTTATGTTGCTTTGTCGTTTATAAAACTCTGTTTTTATAGTGCAATCATAACTCAGTAGATAATCGAGTCTTTTCTACAAATCAGAAACAGTTCAAGTAAACATACTAGTAAACTATAATAGGTATAGTTTAGGAGTTCAAACATACTATAAAGAGAAACAGGGAGGAACATACTATAAAGAGAAACAGGGAGGAACATACTATACAAATACAAGAATACTACAACAATAATGTGAAACCACTACTTCACGACTTAGCAATATACTTGTTAGGTCGCGTTTTGTAACCAGAGTCTCCTGGAGGGAGAGCATGAGTTTGTGTATAGATCTATACGGGATTGACACCCCACACCTTGCTGCTAGCTACAGTGGGACTTGCAAGTCTATGGGTGACAAATATCACATCAGTTTCGGCGCCATTAGGTCGTCGTGTTAAACACGTGTCGTATCAGTATGGTTATAACCACATCACATTTTAACCTTAATTAACAAACTGGTTTTAAGGTAGTTAGTGCTTCAGTAGTCACTTTTTACAACATTACTGAATACTTTCATTATTACAAAGGACAAACAGAACAGTCGAGTCTTAGTACATTCAGTTAGAAGGGGGCCTATAATGCTAACTTTATGATTTATCGGTAGATACATCAGGGATATATATTAATCGGGTCCGACAGATAGTAGGATGTGTGCCTTCCGCTTCATTTCCTGTTCCTTGTTTGGTTGTGAGCTTAGAGCAGATGCACCCAGGCTACTATCTATTCGATCTTAGCTAAATATATATTCCGTATACACCCATA